TTTGCATGATGTAGAAAAGGGCACATTTCCTCTAGACAGCTGCCTTCCCTCTCTTGGAAACTTCTTATAATGTTGGATTTTGTTAGAACAAGACCCTTCATTTCCACATATGTTGTTATTAGCACACAGATCAATGAAGTGTCCCACATGATCAGTCTCTTAGAGGCTATGCCTTGAATTGTACATAACCTGATTCTTGTCCTGGTCCTCAGAGGCAAACACACGGAAGTTTTTTAGTGGTTTCTTCCATTTGCCCCATATTTCTTCATTTCTAGTTTTGTCTATTATGTTTGGGCTTCTCAGTAAGACATGAAGATGTAGCTCTAATACTTCCTGCCTTCACTCTACCAGGAGATTATATTGCTATTTTTACTTCATGAAGTGTTTGCAGTGCTAATACTAAAAATAGTCATTGAGAAATCAATTATTGTACCTTAATCTCATTCTTTTTTGTAAGAACTCTGCTTTTCTTGACCTTTCTCATTCCTTTTTTTCCCCCTTTGCTCTGTCTGCCATCGTGTGCTGACAGCTAACTTCTAGCTCTTCCTGTGTGTCAAGCACCGTTCTGGGGCCTGTAGAGCATTCTTGTTACCCGCCTCCTGCACCAACGGCAGGCAATTGTATGTATGGTTCTTATTTTTATGTCACAGAACAAGAAGTGGAAACTCAAGAAAGGTTAAGTAAACAACTGGCTACAACTCTAGCTAATAACTGGCAAATGCAGGGGTTAAATCCGGACAGTCTGACTCCACACACGTAATGTTGTATACTGTCTTTTTCCCTTTCAGATTCCTCCCTTTTTGGAGTTTTCATTCATCTGCTTCAGCTTTGGGCCAATGCTCCTGTCTCTTAGATGTTTGTCTGTCTGTCTCTGTCTGTGTATCTCTGTCTCTCTGTCTCTCTCTGTCTCTCTCTGTCTCTCTTCATTAGAGCAGCTTTCTTAAGGGTGCATAAAGAAATAAAAATAAAGAGTTCATAGTTTTTTTTAATCTTTGCAAGTCATAAAACTTTTCATTCTGTCCACTACCAAATTCTGAGGGGAATGCTATTTGATCTAGAATTCTATATTCTAGCATCCAGCTGTTTTTAACTCTGGTGTTATTCTGGTATCTGGTGTTACTCTGATTTCAGTGATTTTTTTTTTATTTTTTGGAGCTTTTATAATCCTTTCTTTGTGGTGGGGTGTGGTACAGCATGCCTGCAATCCTAGCTACTTGGAAAGCCAAGGGAGGAGCATTGTGAGTTCCAGGCTAGGCAACATAGTGTTGTTGCCTCAAAAACAATAACAATGACAACAAAACCAAAAAGCTCAAGAGTCTGTTTGCTCTTCTAAATTTGCATAATGTCTGCAATATTTCTTTGATAAATTCTTTCACTGTTTCTCACTTTTCTTCCAATTAATTATATGTGGAACTGGCTGGATCCAGAGTCAAACATCTTTTCTCTCCATATGTATATGCCTTTATTTTTTTAGTTCTGTTTTCTAAGATAATACCTTTATTTCTAATCCATAGCTTGGATTTTTGAAATCTGGTGCTCATATTTTTAACTTCTAAGACTCCTCTTACATTCCATGGGTGTTTTTTCATGACCTCCTCTTTTAACAGATGGAATCATCTTTCACATACTTTCCTGGGGCTGTGAATGATAGTCTTTTTGAAACTTTCTTCTGTTTCTCATTTTCTTCATTTTTTCCGTGATTATGTTTTGGTCTCCTCTTTGTATCTTGGGAAATATCTTGGGAACTTTCTTGGGATACCTGGTAGTCCTTTTTTTGCCTATACATATTTCAGAATAAGGTACTAAAAACTGAGTGGGTAGTTAAGGCTTGTTAACGACTTTGGTTTGTTGAGGATTATGAGTAGAGAGCTTCTAAGGGATCCCCAGTGCCAGTGCGTAGAGCTATTGTAATACGGACCCAGAGACAGACTGATGGGGGTGTGTTCCTGGCCAGGCTTCTCTGGGTAGAAGTGTGGGAAAGAGGAGTGGGCCAGGAATTGGTTCCTCAGTTTTGCATTTCTGATACTGTTTACTCCACCTGGGGTCTCAGGGTCCAGAGGCTTCTCTGGGATTTTATAGAGCCTACTGGCTCTACAAATGTGTGTATTTATCTGTGCCCACCCAGTCCAGGCTGTGGTTTTCCCTTTCTTATTTTTCTAGTTATCTCTCCTTCAATACCTTTCCATCTTCCAGAAATTCATTGATAAAACTCATTCATCAATGGATCCTCTTCCATTCTCTTTGTCATTGACAGTGTGTATTTATTTTCTTCCTTTACTGTCACTCTAATCTGATCTCTGAAGAGGAGGAGATAATAAATATGGGAGGTCAATCTTTCTACTTGATTCAGAGTCTTGTTTCCTTTGTGTTCCTGTACACAAATAATGAACTCACTGAGAAAGAAATTAGGAAAACAGTATCATTCACATTAGCATCAGGAAAACTTAAATACTTAGGAATTAACCTAACCAAGGAAGTGAAAGACCTCTATAATGAAAATTATATTACTCTGAAAAAAGGAGATCAAAGAGGACATCAGAAAATAGAAAGATGTCCCACCTTTCTGATACAGAACCAATACAGCCAAAATAACTAACATATATATGTGTGTGTGTATATATATATACATATATATATGTGTATATATATATATATATATATATATATATATATATATAACCCAATCAAAATACCAACAGCATTCCTCACAGATCTAGGGAAACCATCTTAAGATTCACATGCAACTAGAAGAGACTCAGAATAGCAAAAGGAACCCTGAGTAACAAAATCAAAGCAGGTGACATCATAATCCCAGATTTGAAATTGTATTACAAAGTTACTATGATAAAAACAGCATGGTACTAGCACAAAAACAGACTTGTGGATCAATAGAGGAAGAAACAACCCCAGATACATTCAGCTGTTTGCTCTTTGACAAAGGGGCTAAAAACATATACTGGAGGAAGGATATCCTCTTTAATAAATGATGCTGGGAAAATTGGATATCCACATGCAGAAGATTTTGAGTCTTTTGTATTAAAAGACTCAAAAGACATTTTGTATTAAAACCAAAATGGATCAAATATTTGAATGTTAAAACAGAAACACAATCTGTTGGAAGATAAAATAGGTAAAACTCTTGAAGACATGGGCATAGTCAGCAACTTTCTAAACAGAGCCCACAGGAAATAGTAATGAGAGTCAACAAATGGGATTATATCAAATTAAAAAGCTTCTGCACAGCTAAATTTCTTTTTCCCAGGACTCACTCATTCTCCTTTTCTTTCTTACTTTCATCCTTGTGTCTTTCTTTGGCAGTATACTGGGAACTGAACCCAGGCCCTTTGCACTGAGCTATATCCCCAACCCTTGTGTATTTTTAATTTTGAGACAAGGTCCTACTAAGTTGCTAAAATGCCCAGATTGGCCTTGAACTTGGAACTCTCCTGCTCCATGCTCCCAGATAGCTCGGACTGCCTGTGTGTGCCACCATGCCTGCCCTTGTGTGTTTGTTTTTTAATAATCGCAGTAGCTGAAATAGACCGTTATTTTGAGCTTACCTACGGTCAGTGATGGCGAGCCTTTTAGGACTGAGTGCCCAAGTTGCAACCCAAAACACACTTATTTATTGCAAAGTGCCACCACTGCAATTAAACCTGAATCCTGAGGTTTTGGTTTAGAAGAAGCAGCTATTATCTGATGTTCAGCTATTGGGGTAACTTGTCTCATGTGCCGACAGAGAGAGCTCTGGGTGCCTGCTGTGGTACATGTGCACAGGTTCATTACCACTGCCCTAGGTCATTCCACCAGTGACACCCAGCACTCAGAAAAGGGTGTGGGCTCCCATGTGGGCTGCTTAGGTGCAGCTGTCCTAATAGAGGGTGGGGATGGAGAAAGAGGGACTGGGTTAAAATGCATTCACAAGCACATGGTGTTATTGAGTGGTGCCTTTGAATATCAAATTTCCAGGTCAGAGTGTACCATAATTACTTTTACTCAGTTGGGGGTCGCTGTGCAGGACACGCCCCTTACCCCATCCCCAGATCTCACAGGTTATGGTGAAACCATCCTCGGGAGACTCTGTGCCTGGTTGACCTTGGACATGTTTCTCTCTGAACCCTGCTTTTTCCTGATGAGGAGCTGGATGAAAAGAATAAGCCAGGCTGCACTTTGGTGTCACTGGAACTCAGGTGGGTCCCTTGTGATCCACCTCAGTGATGACCTGAGCATCTCTGCTTGTCTGCTTTATTATTGGTGCTTTTATGAAACTTCATTCAAAGCAAGGATTTCTGAGGCTAAAACATTTAAAAGCCCAAGAAACATGAGCCTCGTTGCCCTACAGCCCTACAGGCTGAATCTGTGTGAGTTCAGAAACTGGGTCTTGATACCTGCATAGTCATTACTGGGGGACTAGGGGGTCGCTGGTAAACGCCCCCCTCTGGCTTTGCAGGCAGCATGACGTGTGGGGTGGAGTTGGTGAGCAGCCCAGGCTGTTGTCCCGCAGTTCTATTTCGAGTTACAAGTGACTAGTGGCTGAAGGCCCTGTTGGGGAGGAGCTGCAGACTCGCCCCACAGGCAGTCTAAACTTGTGTTTCAGGCATTGGTAAAGCAGTGTTGTTCATTTGCCAAAGCATCAAAATTTTCATCATGGCAGAAGTTACACTGTGGCTGAATGTTCTTCCATTTCTTTCCATTTTGGTCTTGCTCGCTATTATGAATTAGACATGTGTGATGAGTAAGACTTCATCCCCCTCAGTGCCCGGGATCCCTAAAGCCCCCCGTGGAGTCCAGCTGATAGGTATCTTACCCAAGGGGCACTTTTCTTCCATTTCTTAGCTTCAGCTACACAAACCTCTGCCTACCCTGGGCAGATTCTTAAAATATTTGCCCATCAGCAGTCTCTCAGAGAGGAATGTTCTACACTGCCGTGATGTCAAAGGGGCCCCAAGGAGAAGGGCCTGGGCCAAACTGAGCCTGTCACTCACAGCCCGTGGCTGAGTGGGAGATAAGCAAGGCAAAGGCACGGAGAGGACCTGGCCCTGCAAGCTCCCCACACCACCCCTGCGATCAGTGCGGGTTGGAGCTGCAGGGTGAGACTATTAGCCACCAGGGACAATGGTCTTGCATTCACTACCTGAGTGAAAGCCAGGGGTCTGTGGCTCTTCCATTTCCTCGCCCTTGCCCTTGTCAAGCCTGAGTGACGATGTCAGGAGCCTCCAAGGAGAATCTGGGCCCCCAGGGCCTGCCAGTGTTGAGCAAGGCCTGCCTCACTGCCATGGACAACAAACTTAATGTGCTGAATGCGAAGGTAGACAAACTCCTGCATTTCCAGGAAGATGTCACAGAGAAACTGAACTGTATGTGCCAGGGCATGGGCAACCTGGAGCAAGGCCTGCAGCGGTTGGAGGCCTCCCGACGGCTGGGCCTGGTCGGAGCCGACTGTGCTCCTGCAGCTGATGCTCAGGCTGCATGGCCTCAGGTTCTGGAGCTGGTAAAGGCTGTGCGGCAGGACGGTGCCCAGCGTGGTGCCGGGCTCGAAGCCCTCTTCAGGATGGTGGTGGCTGAGGACAGGGCCATAGCTCTGGTGGGAACTGCGTTCCAGAACTCGAAGTTAGTGGATTTCATCATGCAAGGGAGGAAAGGCAGCCTGGATGATGGCCCTGAGGAGGTTGGTTCTGTTTTCCCTGCCCCGTCTGGAAGGGAGGCCCAGGTGCCTGAATATGGGGGCTGGAGGTTCTGGCCAAGTAGCTAGTCTCAGAAGAGCTGGAGGGATGCTGTCCCCTTCTTGTGCTCCTGTGTGTCCTGCTGATGGAGAAAAGCAGAGATTGAACCTTCGTGGTCACAGGAGGCTTTCCAGACAGTCCTCTGACTGCTGCTGTCCCAGGGAACGGAAGAGGCAGTGTGCTAGCCAGGACTGGGAGGCCTTGGGCAGCCCCAGGCACAGTGCTCCAAGATGTGGGCACAGTGATGGCTAAGGAGAAGAGCGCAGTAAGCTTCTTTAACTCCTCTGGGGCTTCCCTTCCCCTCAGAGATCCTTCCTGCTCTGTCACACCTGGGGTGGGAGACAGGTGGAAAATGTTCAGTTTCCCCTGACGGAGCCCTTGAACAGAAACACAATCTCCCCTTCCTGTCCCCAGCCTTGTGCTTTGTCCCGGAGTGGGTGGTGTGTGCAGCTGCCTGTGTGGAGGTGAGTGTTGACAGTGACCCATGGGGAATAACAGAGGCAGGAGCCAGAGGCTGAGGGTGGAAGATGGCACTTCTGGAAGGGGCTATTCCTGAGGGTTGCATAATCAAACCTGCTGGGAAGAGAAAGATGGGGGTAAAGTATGTAGAGGAAGCACCCTGTTTGGGAAGAGCTGAGGGTCAGCCACTTAGCAACACTTAGCTGGCCTGGAGCAACTGTTCGAGATCTCTGCATTACTGACTCGCCTCTGGCAGGGAAACTGTGCGTGAGGCCAGAGTGCCCCCTGCTCACCTTGGATCCCTCGCCTTTCCCTCCCTGCCCCGCAGCGCCCCCCGGGGGAGCCCCCCCCCCCCAGCTGTCTGCCTTGCTGGGACAAGCAACTTTTGTAGTGGCTCTTGCTCCTGATAACCAAGCTCAGCCCTAATAAGGAAAATTAATCTGCTATATAAGCCCAATTCCTAGCTTTAAAAAGAAAATCAGTTAATAATGCACCAAAAAAATACTCATGCGGAATGCCATGGGTTTAGTTTCCTCAAACAAAACAAAAACAAAACAAAACCTAGGAAAACTACTCATGTAAAATGGAAAGTATGCATCTGCCTCCTATTCCACCCCTCTGTCCTCAGGACAATGCCCCTTGTACTCACAAGCAACTATAGGAACCAGGTTTTTCTGAATTCTTTCAGATATAGAGTCTGCATCTATAAGCACACTGGGGTAAATATTACCCTCAGTGTTTTGTTTTTACTCAGATATTATTCACATGTGCTAACCTTGATTTTTGAAAAAAATTTACTTGATGTATTTTGGGTATTGTTTCAAATTTATACCTAGAATATTTCCTTGTTCTTACTGCCTAAAGTTGCAGAGTGCAACATCTTGGGAAATTTGTCTTAATTTGCTAGCCAGTTACGTATTGTTTTTACTGTTTATCATTTTTTACTTTTATAACTAATGATGCAGCATATATCTGTACATGTATGTCTTTGAACCCAGTATGAGTTTATCTGTGTTATACATTCCTAAGAGTGGAAATACGAAACCAGAGGGTAAATTTGTATTAACTAAAGCCAAACCAATCTTAAAAAAGTTATTCCAACTTAGTCTCCTAACCATAACATATGAGACTGCTGTCCCCTCCACTGTGGCTAATAAGGCATAGTATCCAATTTTTAGAATTCTTTTCCTGGCTGGTAAATATAAAATAAGATCATATTGTGCATGTATTTTAATATGAAAAACTTCAGACATTTATAAAAACAGAGATTAGTACACTCATTTCCTGTTACCCATGGGGGATTAGACCCCATTTCATACGAGAATCCATGTATGCTCAAGTTTCTTTATGACACAGAATTCACGTATAATTTATGCACCTCCTCTTATGCTTCCCAATCCAGAAATCATCTCTCGATTCCTTACAATAGCTAATACAATGTAAATGCTATATAAACAGCTGTTGTGTCATATTATGACTAATGTGAAAAAGTCTGTACATGTTCAGTACAGATGCAATCTTCTCCCCCAGATGGTTTACATCTGAAGGTGGTTGCATTCTCAGATGAGGAACCCATGGGTACAGAAGGTCTATGTGGAATGAATCCTGTGACCCATCTCTCAGCTTCACGGTCAACTGGAGCCCAAGGTCATTTCATCTATTTCCCACCCAGTTCCCATTTTGCTCTGTCCAGATTATTTTGAAGCAAATCTAAGACATTTGGCTTATATCTTTCATGAACTTTTCAGAATTTATATCTAAAAGATAAGGGTTCTTTAAAAAAAAAAAAAAAACGAAGCTATTGTATCTAAACTGTGAAAGGTGATACTTTCTAATATTACCAAAGTTGGTGTTCTCATTTCTTGTCTTGTGCTTTATAAAATTTTTATAGTTTGTTTGAATCAAATCAAAATAAGGCAGTTGGTCGTGTGTCTCCTGAAAGCTAACTCTTCTTTTGAATTCATAAAAAAATTTTAAAGATTTTAACTAAGAATTTTTAAAGATTTTAACATAACCAAAACAGATAGAATTATATATCTGTTGTTTCAGTTTATATTTCTTTTGCTAAAAGATTGAATATCATTCATAGGTTTAAAACCCTTTTTATTTTTGTTCATGCCCGTTTCTGTCTTTTCTGGGTTTGTTTCCATCTTGTACTTATGGATTTGTAAGAGCTCTTTATATATTACTGTTGTTAGCTCTCATGTTGTGAATATTTAGACATTTCTGGATGGGGGAAGTCGTACAACTTTCTCTTCTCTTGGTTCTTGCTACATTTCTTGTCTGCATTGCTCCACTGGGCACGTCGTGGGTCACTCTCTGGTCCTTGTGTTCATACCTAGCAGTAGCTATGTGCAGGTGTGAGTCCAGTCTCCGAACTGGATGTCAGCTGCTCGTTCGGCTGTGATATGAAGCCTCAACTTCCCTGGCTGACCTCAAAGGCAGTGTTCAGAGGACAAACAGTGAATGAGACCCAAGCACAGCTATTTGATGCATTCTCAGTGCTGAAAACTGAGCTATGGAGGCATTCTGGAGACCTTCTTTGTGTCTTCTAAGAGAATAGAGGCACAGAAGTCATCTGTGGAACTGAATTAAATCCTAACCCTGGCTGTTAAATTAGAAAATTATGCCAGAACTGTGTGAAGGTCATGCTTGGATCTTTTGAAGTGCTCAGCAGCACTTTGTTTGGTTGTAACAATGAATTGGATGATTTCTAAAAGGCGGGGGCTCTCTCAGAAAAGATTCAGGCTTAAGCCAGGCATGGGCCAGAATCATGGTCAAGCTGTTCAGAGGAGAGCGTGTAAGGACATGTGCTTGAGGGCTCCCTGTGGGCTGTTTCAGGCCTGAAAGCCCAGGTCTGCCAGGCCCTGGTCCTGCGCAGACTCAGACTGAAGGGACATCTGCTCCCTTGGGCCACACTTGCCACCTGTACAGTGGGTTCAGTTAACGCTGAGTGCTCTTGGCTTTGGGCAGGACAAAATCACACCAGTGCAAGGTGCAGGGAGGGTACAGAATTTGACCAAATGGGGAGGATGAGTGAGGCAAGTGAGAGAGTCCATGCTCCCGGCCTCACTGTGTTCTGGAAAAGGATGACTTGGGGTCAGTTACCTGGCTGCCAGGCAGACCTGAGTCGTCGGGGGTGTAGTGCTCCTTTCCCACTAAGCAGGACTTAGTTAGAGTTCAGGATCCAGGGCCCCTGTTAGAGGCTGGGCCTGCCCATCACCAGCAATAAATAGAAAGGTTGGAAGGGATTTGAGTTTTAACTTTGAAACTGGGTCTTGTTTTATGACGTTGGGAAAACCTCAGTGCCCTTGTCCGTAAATGATAATAAGTAGTATTTGCCTTCCAGTGTTCCTGGGACCAATGCCTAATAACCTAAGTACCTTTATCTGAGTGTGTGGTAGGTAGTCGACAAAGGTTTACAACCTGAATGATGTTGGTGATATTGATTGCTTTTAATGGTTATTATTTTAGAATAAAGAGCCAGTGGAAGAGAAGGGAGCAAAACCAAAGCATGCACTGAACACCAGGGCTGTGCACGCTGGCATCAGGGGGCCTCCGGAAGGTGAGTGAGCCCACTGCTGTCTCTCATATAGAAAACAATAATACCACCCGAAGTGTGGCCAGTGGAAAATTGTTGAAACTGCTTTTTCCTTTTTTTTTTTTTTTGTTCTTTGTCTTTTATATGTACACCATTACAGATGTGTAGAGTCAACTGCAATGTTTTGAAAGCACTTGGAGCTGGGCATGGTGCCACATGCCAATTACTTATGATGCTAAAGTTGGGAGGATTGCTTCAGCATGGGAATTTGGGGCCAGCCTGGGCAGCATAGTGAGACTCTGTTTAAGAAATAAAAAGAACGTGGTCAGGCATGGTGGTACACACGTGAAATCCTACCACTCAAGAAGCTGAGGCAGGAGAATTGTGGTGAGTTTGAGGCTAGCCTGGACTACACAGTGAGACCCTGTCTCAAAAAATTAATTAATTAAATTAAATTAGAAAAAGAAAGAAAGAAAATAACTTAGAATAACTCCTTGTAGCCCATGCCATCAACTTGATAATAAACTTTATTTCATTTTGCTTTACTTCCTGTGTAGAAAAAAAAAAGTACAGCTTACTGCCAGCGTTTGTTTAACTTTATATAAACATGTTCTTTGAGGGTGAAGCAAATCCAACTGGTTTTCAATGTGAAAAGAAGATATAAGAACTTTTTTAGCCAGGCATGGTGGTGTATGCCTTTAATCGCAGGATTTGGGAGGCTGAGGCAGGAGGCTCGCTGCAAGTGCAAGGCCAGCCTGGGCTACATGGTAAGTTAAAGGCCAGCCTGGACTGCGTAGCAAGACCCTGTCTCAACCCTCCCCCACAAAAAAACCCCAAAAACTTTTCTTGGCGTTATTTCTAAACAGAATTTATCGGTAATCCTAATGTAACAGAAATATATATGTGTGTGTGTACATATATATATATATACATATACATATACATACATACATAGGCATGGTGGTGCATGCCTGTAATCCTAGCACTTCGGTGGCAGAGGCAGGAGCACTGTCACAAATTCAGCCTGAACTATGCAGCAAGACCTTGTCCCCCTCTAAAGAAAAAAAAAAAAAAAAAAAGAAAGAAAAGAAATATATATGATGATTAGTAAGGGATAAGATTAGAACTGTATGATTGCATTCTACAAGCTATCTTGTGGTATACATGATAGCCACAAGCATTGCTAGTGACTATTCCTTTTTCATTTCTATTTTTCAGTACATGTTTGCAGTGCATTCAGTTTACCATCCTCTTGGGGAGTGGGTACTTGTACAAAGTACAGTTTGTTTCTTTCTGTAATCTCTTCCTCTTCCCTGCCCCATCTCTCCATCCTCCTTTCATCCCTCTCTCTCCCTACCAAACATTCTTGGAGTGAATAAGAAATGGGTTATGGGTTTGTATATTGCTTATTTATTTATTTATGTATTTTTATTTTAAAGAGACAAACAGTAAAATGATACAGAATTTCAAAACAAGATGATAGGAAGTTAACAAAAGTTACTATATTGTGTAATGTTATCTTCAAAGTAGTTGCTCAGATTACCAGGTACAGGCATGCAAAACTGATCAAACAGTATGAGCACTAATGGTTCCCGTCAATGAACGAATAGGAATTAGTAGTACAGTTATCTTAGCTAGCTTGTGTATATATACATATCTTTTTATTTTTCCCGTCCTTCTTTTCTCTTTCCCCCCTACCAGTTCTTCTTTCCTTTTGAGAAATTTCTTTCCCTTTCATTATGTCTATTGTACCTTTTGGATCTTATTTATTCTTTCAGTTTCTTACACTAGGGAGACAATACAATGTTTACACACGTGGGTCTGATTTTGTATTGCTTTTTTAAAGTTTCATTTTCAGCCAGGCGTGCACACCTGTAATTCCAGCACTTGGGAAGCCAAGGCAGGAGGATCAGTCTGAGTTCAAAGCCAGCCTGGGCTACATAGCAGGACTGTGTCTCAAAAAAAACAAAACAAAAGTTTCAGTTTTTTTTTAAATTTTCCATCATATTTACATGATTCCACAGTCAAATTAACAAAACAAAATACAGTAGGAGCAGTCCAGCTTCTATCCATGCTTCCTGTACCATCTTCTTCACCCATACATAATCATCTAAAAAGCTTTGTCTTCTGTTTCCATTGAGCTCCAGTCTATATAGAGCGCACAATAAATGGTTATAGGCGTGTGTGCGCATGTGCACGTGCACATACACAAACACACAAGTTCTTCCTTTTTTGGTAAGCAGCTTCTAACAGGTTCTGTACCCAAACACAAACACAAACACACAAGTTCTTCCTTTTTTGGTAAGCAGCTTCTAACAGGTTCTGTACCCACATTCTCCACTCTACTAATTTTTACTTCTAGTATATTCTGAGATCACTCCATAGCTGCCTATAGAGATAGTAATTTTTTATTTTTTATGGCTGTGCAACATGCCATGATGTGGTTGCTTCCCCATTCAAACAAAATCTCCCAACAGTCATCTGAGTTACCTTCAGCCTTGGGCTATCATGCACATGGGGCAATGAATGGCCATGGGCACTTATTCTGCAAGACTTTTGTCACACTCTTCCAAGCATGCGTTGTTTTTACCTTGTCTCTTTTCCTGTAGAAAGCCAAACACTGGATTTGCCAGATGGGACACTGGAGAGCCTGCTCCCCATTACAGCATCAGGGATGGGAGTAGACCTTCTCGCCCAGACAGGGATCTCACCAGGGCAGGGATATGGAGTTCCTGGCCTTGGCCAGGTAACCCCTGGTGACCTGCTGCTGCTCACAGAGGCCTGTGTCGAAGTTCCAGAAACATCTAGTGAGAAGCTCGGAAATGGCCTGGAATCATCTGCAGCACCTGATGGGGTTGGTAAGGCATCTACCAGCCAGGAGATGACATCAGGTGCAAGACAAGGAGCATCATCCAGCAGGCCAGACGCTCGGCCCTCAGAGGAGGGCATGAGGCTGACATCAGGGTCCACGCCTCCATCTGCGGGGTCTTTGGGGCTAGCAGCCCTGGCCAGGATGGCTCACAGTGGTGGAGAAGTGCCTCACAGGTAAGGGGAGCACTTCTGTGCTGGGGAAGGGAAAACATTAACAGCTGCTCTCGGCTGTGACATGCCCAGTGGGCCAGGGACACGTGTTGAGTAACCACCATATGCATAGGACTAGGCCAGCTTCCTGGAGGGGAGACCTTCTGTTTGGGAGCTTAGAGGATTGGTGAGTACCTGCTGCCCACTGGAATTACCTAGGGAGATTTAAGAAACACTGATGCCCAGAGATCCTGATTCAGTTCTCCTGGAGTAAGTCTTGGACATTGTTTTTTATTTTGGTTTGTTTGTTTGCTTGTTTGTTTTTTGTTGTTTTGGTTTGTTTGGCAGTGTTGGGGGTCAAGCTGATGGTCTCGTGCATGCCAGGCAAGTATCCTACCACTGAGCTACGCCCCCTCAGTTCTATTTAAAAAAATTTTTTTAAAATATACTCTCCAGCAGAGTGTGATGGCGCATGCCTGTAATCCCAGTACTCAGGAGGCTGAGGCAGGAGGATCGCTGTAAGTTCAAGGCAAGCCTGGGCTACAAAGTAAGTTCAAGTCTAGCCTGAACTGCATAGTGAAACCTTGTCTCAAAAAGACAAAACAAAACAAAACAAAACAAGAACAAAAACAGAAAACACCCTTTCCAGGTTAGCAGGATTAAGAATTGCCAGCTCTTAAATTGATAATAACAATTAAAAGGTGGGGCTCACAGAGCTCTTCCACAGGTGGTAGCTGCACGTTTTATAGGCATCACCTCCTTTATTCTCACAGTAAGCTCAGCAGGCAAGGGTAGTTGCTTTCTCTTTTCGTGAAGAGGAAGCATAGGCTCAGTGTGCTGGGACCACACACCTGGGATTCAGATAGAGATCTGAGTCCAGGCTACTGGTCAGAATCGGTTCCTCTAACTACGGCAGTGGCTCCTCAGGCCAGCTTTTAATTAAATCCTAAATAATATGGGAATAGGGAAGAAGTCCATGCATGCGGGGTCAGTCCAGGGGTGGTGCTTTCAGGAGGATTACACTGGAGGTTCTGGAGGTAGAACTATGGCAGCCCACCCTCAGGATGCTCAGGAACCTGCTGACTCTCACGTGCTTCCCCATTCTGGAGCAACACACATTGGTCGCAAGGCTCACTGAAGGGTACTGGACCTTCTTTTTTTCTCTCAGCAGAGCTTGGTGTCCCTGTGCCTGCCCTGGGCTGCCCTGCACTTTGATTGGGACCCCAGAGCCTGGCTTGGAGGCAAGCTGGTACCTGTGTTTGCTATGGTGACTGGCAGAGTGGTCCAGGTTGTCTGTCTACTGTTATTCTCAAAGGAAACAGGAACCTCCAAGGAAACCTGGCAAGCCTGAGGGAGGGACTCCTGGCAGGCATCCCTGGGCCCAGGCCAGGACTCTTATATATGGAATCTGGGGCTAGGGGTAAACTTTCCATGAACTTGTTAGGACCAAAATGATTCTGAGTGAGAAGCAAAGATCTCTATCTCAGTTTCAGCCCCTGAGCTGAATTCCAGGTAGAAGAAAATGAGGTCACTACCTTGCCCTCTCTTCCTCAGTGTGTGAATATGTGATTGTAAGTTCAGGGTCAGCTGTGATTGGTAGGGGCTTGCTATGTAGAGTGTGCCGATGCCATATCTGAACTTAATGGCACTAAATATTGTAATTGATTGCTAATACCTGCCAGGGGTATGCTCTAGTAAGAAAGCTTTGGACATGCATGTGATGGAATATTATTCAGCCTTAAAAAGGAAAGAAATTCTGACAAATAGTACAACATCAGTGAACCTGGAGCATAACATACTAAGTCAAATAAACCACTTACAAGAAGATAAATACTGTATGAGTCCACAGATGCAGTAACTAGAGTAGTAAAAGAGTTTACTGTGGAGTAGTGTAATAATAAGAAAGCTCTGGACAGTAGAAGTGGCATGTGTCTTAGTTACTTTTCTTTGCTGAGACAAAATACCCAACACCCTAAGTTAAAAAAGGAATTTCGGCTCAGAGTTTGTAGAGTCCGTAGTTGGCCAGCTCCAAAGCAGAGTAGCATGACAGAAGGGCACTGCAGAAGGGAAACAGTTCATGGCATAGCAGGGCAGCAGAAGGCAGCAAGCAGTGATGTAGCAACCAGCAAGTAGCAACCAGCAAGCGGTGACAGCAGCCCTCTTTCTGTCCCTTATATTCTACCCAGGCTACCCGCCCTTAGGGCGGATAGCACTCACAGCCAGGGAGGGCCTTCCCATTATCCACACCCGGAACTATGCCAAACCAATCAGTGGCCTAATTTAGTAATCACACACCCTTGATCCCAGCGTCACACACTCTAGATCTAGCCACCTCTGAAAAGCCCCATATGTATGGGGCTTTGGGGGGACATCTAGATACAAAGCCAGAACAGAATGGAACTGCATGGCAGTGGCTTTGGGGTCATTACATGTCCCACAGATGGGGAGACCAAACAGGGGAGTATTGGCGCTGGCCTTCTCCACTGACTATGGGATAGTCTTCCAGCAACTACCATGCCAGTTTCCTGTGTCCCTGTCTTGGATGAGGCCCAAGATAGGCTTGGGGTGGCTTGACTTAGATACTCCCCTTCCCACAATAGTCCTATGGCGTGGTGTTGGAAGAATTTCTGCCCCCGCCCAATGCTTGGCTCTGGAGAGGCTATCAATCCCTTAGTGCTCACATGGGGCCAGGCACTGCTCTCAGAGGCCCGGCAGCGCAGACAGCTGAACAAAGGCCTTATGAATTTTTTCTTTTTAAAATTGTAATAAAGAACACATCACATAGAACTTACCATCTTAACCTTTAGGGGGCAGCTAAGGAGAGAACCCAGGGCTTCCCGCATGATAGGCAAATGCTGCACCACCAAGCTACGCCCCAGCCCCCGTCCCCACTTGTAAGTCTATGATTCAGTAGTGTTACGTGTGTTCACACTGTTGAGAAACAGATCTACAGAAATTTTTCGTCTTACAAACTGAAACTCTGCACGCATTTAAGAACAACAGCCCATTTCCCATTCCTGTTACCTCAGCCCCTGATAAGCACCATTCTACTGAAAGGGAAGCTGAGGCCCGGAGAAGAGTGGGAAGAATCAGTCTCCCACCTTCAGGCCACAGTCCTCCTGGGGCAGAAGCACATTTCCAGCACCCTCAGAGAGGTCTGGTCCCCACCATGTCCCCTAGGGATCATCTATCTTCAGCCTTTCTGGACCCTCACCTCATGGGATCCCAAAAGTGATGGCACCGTCTGTCCCGAGCTGGCCCCTCCCTTCTGTCCTGTCTGAGCAGGGTGGTCCAGGAGTTGGCGTCTGTTGGTTCCAGCCACAAGGAGACTCTTGCTATTATAACCCTGCTACAACCCTAAGGTCTCCACTTTACACATAGAGGACTGAGGCCAAAGGCAGTGCCGGTGACTGGCAGCAGTCACCTTTGAACCCAGGTCTCTTCTGATGGCAGTTCTTGCTTTTAACCTCCAGGCCCTGTTTCTCTTCCCCTAGGATCTCCGTTGATGTGCACCAGATGAATACGCCTGAGGAACTGCTTGTGACACGAGGGGGCAGCCTTAGACCCGCTCTCCCTACAGAGGCTCCAACAGCTGCCCATCCAGGTGAGCAGGACCTGCCTGGGCCCGGATGCTGCCCCCAGGCCACTACAACTGAGTCAGGAGAGCAGACTTCCCGAGGAGCCCGGGAGATTCCCCCGCCACTGAGGAGGAGCAGCCCCTCAGCAGATGAAGAGAAGCAGTGGTCCGGGGCTGAGCCCATCATAGGACCAAGTCTGGCCAGAAGGGACAAAGGCGATGTTGCTGACGAGGCCCTGGGGATACAGCAGGAAACAGGCCCAGGAGCAGGACCCCCAGGCCCTGTGAGGGACTGCACACCTGGAAGCTTGAGGAGAGCCGGAGCAGGAGGGCAGCTGCCCCCAGGTGCTGAGGCTAGCAGCATGGTTCTGGGTAAGTGAAGCTGTTCCCTGGCTTCACATTGGACAGGAAGCCTGAGGCGGTGGGCGGGAAGCCTGTGCTCCATGGGCTTTCCTGCTGCTTCCAGGGTTGAGTGGTGCAGAGCTGGGGGAGTCCGAGAGATGGACACAGCCTGCTGGTACTTCCCAGGGCGGCAGACTGAGGGATGGGAATGCAAAGGGTGGAAATGAGGTTGGCTGTGGTGGCAGGGGAGGAGAAGACCCATGGGGTCCAACTGGGTTGATTTCTCAAAGCCACCTGCCTACCTCTTCAGCTTTCCGGTATTGGTATCATTTTTTTAGAGACAGGGAAAGCTCCTGTTAAAAAACAAAGACACTAGCTAGTGCGTATGACACCCCCAGCTCTTCCCACTCAGAAAGCGGATTCCCACCAGGGTGAGGAGAGGGCGGCGAGGCTGCTGACCTGCTTGTGGTGTGTGGGGGGTGAGAGGCATCCTTGTGTTCTCTGGGTCACACTCTGAGTGCTCCTCGTAGTCAGAGAGCCAGGAGGGTGCCTGGGAAACCCCTAAACAAGTGCCAGCACATCCTGCTGCACATCTCCCAGCCCCTCACGACAAGCTGCTTCATGTCATCGTTCAGTGTGTGTTCCAGATTCTGCTTTATTCCTTATTTCATATAATATTTCTAGGTATGTCTATCATCTCTGAAGGACACAATTTTTTTTAAAAGCCTTAACCTACATTTACCTGAGTGCTACCTGTCCCTTACTCCCCTGCAGACCATTGTCTGTCCTCCCTCCTGCCCTGTGCCCCAGCTCTGCCTTCTGGGGGTTCCCTGGCTCTTACCCTCTCATGTTTGGTGAGGACGGCTGTCAGGAGACCAAGAGTGGAAGGAGGAAGAGGGTGCATGTGGGTTTCTCCAGCTGCCTCCCTCTTGCACTGGCCTGGATGGTTTCCATAGCAGCCCTTTCCCTGTGAAGACGGTCTCTAGCTGGGTGCCGTAGTGCACATCTCACCCCGGCTACTCAGGAGGATTTGCAGAGAGGCTTGCGACATGAAGGCAAGCCTGGGCAATTCAGTGAGACCCTATCTTAAAAGTAAAATAAAGTAGCAGAGGCTGGTGATGTAGCTTAGTGGTAGAATGCTTGTCTACTGAGAAAACTCCCATCATTGGACTCTGCTCACTGACCCTGTTCCAGGGTGTACTCTTTCCTCTGGACTGCACTGATCCACCCAGGATGAATGGATTGGATGTAACTTTATGGCCTTAAAAAGAACACTGTCCTAGTGGCCAAGAGACCTGGGTTTTAATTCTATCTGTTCTGGCTCATTGTGTGGCCCTTGATGAGTCTCCTTATCTCCCTGGGACTCAGTTTCCCTCTCTGCCAAATGGGAGGCTCACTGAGATGATGTTGAGAAGGGGCTTTCAAATCCCAGGGCTGGGAAACCAGGTGAGGTATAATACAGTGGGTCTGGGAGCGGTGGGTGCATATAGGAGATCCACAGGTCCCTTTTCTCCTGAACAGATGACAGCCCAGCCCCCAGAGCCCCCTTTGAGCACCGGGTGGTGAGTGTCAAGGAGACTCCGATCTCTGTGAGCTACACAGTGTGCCAGCACCAAGTCTTGGGAGGGTAGGTGGATGTCTGCCTCACTGGGGGGAGGGGGGGGCAGGAGCAGGTACGGGGCCCTGCAGGATGGTTCTCAGCCTCAGATCCAGTCCTGCCCAGTGAGAGGTTAAGGAATAGCCCACAGAGAGTGGGAGGAAGAGGAGCCCTAAAGTGCAGGGTAGTCCTGTGGTGTAGGGGTGCAGGAGAGCCCCCAGTAGGATGTGGGAGCAGGAGAGGTGACAGCAGGGCTGACGTGGGTGCAGTGAACAGAAGGACCCTGTGGTACGGAGTGAGTGAGGGCTGTGCCTTGGGATGCAGGAGAGCCTATATGTGTGGAGGACCACCAAGGCGACTCTCTTTAAAAGAGGAGCAATTGCTTCTGTTTTGGCTGAGCCTGACCCTATTTGCATGTATTGATATGTACAGAGCTGGCTAGGACTTTTCCTTATCCCTTCAATTGGCTTTAAGCAATGCACGTCGGTCTAGTCCAGGTGCTGATGGTAGTCTTTGGAGATGGCAGGCGTGTTTCCCCACCCCCTGTTGCTCTCTCGAGTAAGCCAGGATGAGGCAGGATGTGTGAGTCAATGCTCCACACTGTCAGCTGAGATTGAGCCTTGGTAGTACAGGCTATGACTTCCTGGGGCTTCAGAGATTATACATCAGAGCTGAAGCATTAGAGACTATCTCAAACATTAGATATCTCAATGAGTTATGCAGATCACTCTTTCTGCATATCCTTCTCTGTGCATACGACAGAGGTGATTTCAGGCCTCCTACCCAGCCCAGCTCATGGCACTCACATACTTCCTGCCACTCTCACAGTCATCATCCTCAAGCCACTCCTTCTTCACGAGCGAATAAAATCTGGGTTTGGTGGTGGGTATCCCCTTTGTTCTGGATAGCCATCATCATGGCTGGACTTAGGACCCCTTGGTTCCCCATAACCACAGATATGTCTTAGTGTTTTTATTCTCGCCATGGCTTGCACTGGAAGTGGTAGATTGGAATTAACTCACTAGGATTCCTATAACTTTTCATGGGATTGCAAATATAATCTTCCTGGGCCCGGAGGAGGACTGGGAAGGGCTCTGTATACACACGGAGTAGGGTCAGGAGGGTTTCCTTTAGGATTCAGGGTAAACCACATGTTGAGGCACTTATTTTCTAGGGTTCAGCGTAGTCCATGCGGTAGGGGGCAATGGCTAGGGCATGCCCGGGGCAAGGGAGCGGGGACCAGCCCCCAGGGGGAGGGGCTTACCATGCCTGTAGTATACTTCTTGTGCTCTCAGCCTTCTGTGTCCTTCTGTCTCTGTAGGGGTCGATTTGGCCAGGTCCACAAGTGCATGGAGAAGTCCACAGGCCTCCCACTGGCTGCCAAGGTCATCAAAGTGAAAAGTGCCAAGGACAGGGTGAGGCACGTGCCCTGGGCCAGCCAGGTCCTTCTAGCTAAGCTCAGGTCTCCTTCACACCCTTCATAGTCCCCCAGGTCTGCATGCCCCTCCATGCTGAACAGGCAACCAACCCACTGCTTTTCCTGCCTGTTTCCTGTGACTCCCAGAGCCTATGCAGAAGGTGACCTCACACTCTTCAGTCCGTACCCATGTCTGCATGTGTGGGTATCCGGCATGGCTTTGCCTGTGGACCTGTAGGCAGCAACGCCCTTTTTTTCTTGGGCTGCAGGTTTCTTGCTGGGATTCAGGAGGGCTGCCCTAAGGTCCTCTTTGTTGTGAGAATGTGGTTGGGTAGGGAGCCGAGGAGACCTGGCGTGACAGTGGGGCCACAAGGATGGGGGGTGTGTGCCTGTCAGTCCACCTGTCTTGGGAGGTCCAGCTGGCTCCTCTTTTTTACCTGTTTGCTTGGAATCCCCCTCTCTTCTTTCCACAAGGAGGACGTGAAAAATGAGATCAACATCATGAACCAGCTTAGCCATGTGAACCTGATCCAGCTCTATGATGCCTTTGAGAGCAAGAACAGCTTTATCCTTGTCATGGAGTAGTGAGTGTCTTAGAGTGGGGCAGTGGTTTTTCCTTGGGCAGGGCCTTCACTGCAGGAAGAGCTGTCTTTCCTCTCACTGGGAGACCCAGTACTGTGCCATGCCAACCCCACTTTCTAGGCCCGGCTGCTTGGATTCCAGTACAGAGCATGGAGGACAAAGCTATTTAGTCACACAGACTAGTGGCCACTGAGCTTGCTTTGACCTGCAGATGTTATGTCAGTTTAGCTTTAAAAAACTTTAGTAATTTTTAACAAGTTAACTGAACTAGAAACTGAATTTAAAATAAGAAGTTAAATTTAGAAAATTTTAGTAATTACAGGATTTTAGTTGTTAACATTTAGAAATTGGAAGAGTTACTCAATCAAAACTGGACAGTTGGACAGTAATGTTGCATTGGTATTTCTAGCCATACGTAGTGCTGCAGTTTCCAGTGGCTGCCTTCTGTGGACAGGGCCACTGGTCTCCCATAACTACAATCCCTACTATGCCCTCTGGGCCCATTGCCTGGCTCTGAGGCCATGGGTCCAGAGGCCACTTATATTTGTATTTGTATTGCTTTTTTCTTCTGGCAAGGAAACATTTGTCATGTTGTGTATCTGTCAAAAGTGGAAAAGCACAAGATAGATTAAGGATGGTGTGTTTTCAGAAAACTTTTGTCTCACATCTAATCTAATTTTTCAACTTTGGTTTCCTATCCTATAAGTATTCTTTGCCTCCATTGGCAAATAAATTTGCAGCCTTGGCCTAGATTATCCAGAGTGAGACAATCCTGTCTTCCCTTGGCCCCTCATGTCCTTTTTACCCCCTAGACTCTTTGCTGGAATGGCCTGAGCAAAGGTTCTGACACAACCCCAGACGGTGATGGTAGCAGCCCTGTGATTTCTGGTGTACCCAACCTTGACTTCACGTAGACCATCTTCGTGGTGAAAACAGTGGACATGTGCTCATTCTGATGCTTGCTTCTCCTTTCCTCTGGCAGTGTGGATGGGGGTGAACTCTTTGACCGGATCACGGATGAAAAGTACCACCTGACCGAATTGGACGTAGTCTTGTTTACCAGGCAGATTTGTGAGGGAGTACATTACCTCCACCAACACTACGTCCTGCACCTAGACCTCAAGGTGGGTTCTGCCTTTGGCATATGGAATGTGGGCTCCCCAGTTCCCGAACCTCTTGTGCCCCTCATGGCTGAGACCTCTGTCAGCAACACTGGCCTCCGTCTTGTCTCTGCCACCTCATAGTTCTGGAGGCTAGGGCTCCCAGTTGTGCTGCCTCTCTGAGCCTTGGTTCCTCTATCTATAACTTGTAGAAAATTGAATTTTCATATATGAAAATTCAAGGGTTAAAGGATACAGTGAGGATTAAAGGATACAGTGACCTTTTTTTCCTTAAAAAATATGTTTAAGATTAGTTTTTTAAAACTTCAAAAGGAACACATGCTTGTGGTGACAGGTCTAGGCAATATCAAAGTATATAAAATACACAGTGGGAAGTTTTCCTACCCTGTCTGCATGAGAGAGGTTCTCTCTGTGAGTGAGAGGTTTTCCCACCCTATCTCCATGAAGAGAAGACCTCTCTGTGAGCTGCTAGCCTAGTATCACACACAAGCACACACTGGGTATCAGATGATGCATCTTGTTTTTAATTTTGCTTCTTTCAGCTAACAGTGTACTGTAGACATCTTTCCTCATTCTTTTGAAGGGGAAAGTGATACTCTGTTAAATGAAAGCATTGCATTTCCTTTTGTCTCCCAAAAGTTCCTACGCATGTCTTATACATAGAGCCCTGTGCATAATTCCTGGCTGGTAATAAACACTTGATATATGCTGGTCCTTTTATGTGATTTCTCTAGTCCGTGGAGCGAACAGAACATTTCTGCACAGCCTGTCTCGGGCTGGGATGCATTTCCGTGGTTCCTTCAAGTGGGTAGGAAGTGGATGCTGCACCAGTGGTGCGGCACATTGCTCCTTCTGACGATCTTTTCTGATTAGCGTCAGACTGTAAGGTTGGGGCATCGGAAGAATGGTGGATGGGATGGGGACTTGGCCTCAGTATTCTGCTCACTGGAGCTAATTCCAAGCCTCCTGGACAAGCCCTTACAGGGAAGGCACTAGGGAAAGCTCAGGAATATGCTCTATACTTGTGAGTCTAGGACGAGACTTGGGGTAATTTCTGTGACCTTGCAATGTTTGCTGAGGCCCATTTCCCAGCCCAGAGCAAGAATGGTCTTGGTTAGCTGTTGTCTGGTTGTGAACTTTGGGAATGTTCTTTGAGCTCATCAATTGCAAAGTGGGGAGAATAATGCTGCTACAATTTCCTGTGGGTTAGAATACAGAGGAAGCGCTCAGGAACCGTGCTGTCCAATTCAGCAGCCACCAGCCACAAGTCGTAATCATGCACTTGGGATGTAGCTAATGTGACTGAGGAATTTTCAATTTTATTAATTTTAATTGATTTGTATGTAAAAACTGACACTTGATCCAATTTTTGAAAATATTTTAGTATGTTTGGGGCAATGCATATTTACCTCTCAACTATAAATTTTTTGAAATCTAAGCACAGATCAAATAACTCTGAGGAAAATTTAGGGTCTGCATTGAGATGCTCTTTAAGAATGAAGTAGTGAGGGCTGGGGATTTAGCTCAGTGGCAAAAGCGCCTGCCTGGCAAGTGCAAGGTCATGAGTTCGGTTCCCGGTACCAGAGAAAAACCAAAAAAAAAAAAAAAAAAAAAAAAGAATGAAGTAGTGGCTTCAAAAGACAAAGCCTGGGGAGCTGGGTGTGGTGGTACACACCTATAATCCTGGCACTCTGGGAGGCTGAGTTAGGATCATGGTTGGGGCAATTTAGCTAAATTTTGGTGAAGTTTGAGCCCAGCCTGGGCAGTTTAGCAACTTATTAAGACCCTGTCTCAAAATAAAAAAGTAAAAAGAGACTGTAGGTACAGCTCAATGGAAAGGCCCTGGGTTCAGTTCCCAGTACCAAAAGAAAATGTGAAACCATAGCTCACAGAATAGGAGAAGGTATTTCCAAATCATCTACCAAATAGATTTATATCTAGAATATATTTTTAAAAACTCTTACAACTCAATAATAGAAAAAAAAGTCAACTAAAAGTGGTAAAATGGGCCAGGGATGTAGCTCAGTGATAGAGCATTTGCATAGCATGTGTGAGGCCTGGGTGATTCCCAGCAGTGGAAAAAAAAAAGAGAGAGAGAGAGAGAGAGAGAGAGAAAGAAGTGGTGGTAGGATTTGAATAAATATATATCCAGTGAAGACACACAAAGGCCAATAAGGACATGAAAAGATTATCAACATTATTAGTCATTAGTGGAACGTAAATCAAACAATAATGAGATACCATTTCATAACCCCTAGACTAAATAAAATAAAAATAAAAATGACAAACATAAGTGTTAGCTAGGATGTGGAAAAATTTGAACTCTCACACATTATTGACAAGATTAGGGCTGGGCATGGTGGCATATGCCTGTCATCCCAGCACTTGGGAGGCTGAGGCAGGAGGATTGTTGTGAGTTCAAGGCCAGCCTGGGATACAAAGTGAGCTCAAGGCCAGCCTGAACTGCATAGTGAGACCCTGTTTCAAAAAGACACCCCTGCCAAAAAGAGACAAGATTATAAAATTGTACATCCACTTTAAAACCAGTTTGACAATTCCTAAAAGTAGTAAAAATAGGATTACCATATGATCCTGCAATTTCATTCCTAAGAATATGCTTGAAAGAATTGAAACATAAACATGAAAACTTATACACAAATGTCCTTAGCAGTGTGATTCATAACAGCTAAAAAGTAGAAACAACATGGATGTTCATTAACTGATGAATGGATAAATAAAATATGGTATACCCATATAATGGAATGTTATTTAGCCATGAAAAAGAATGAAATGCTTGTAAATATTATGTGGATGAAACTTTAGAACATTATGCCAAATAAAAGATGCTGGACACAAAAAGGCTGCATATTTTATGATTTCATTTATATAAAGTTCTCAGTATAAGCAAATCTTACATTATCAGTTGCCAGAGATTGGAGGAAAAATGGACAGTGAATGATGATAGGTGTGGGATTTTCATGTTTCTTTTTTTTAAAAAAGGGGTCTTACTGTGGTGTTTAGGCTGGTTCTGAATTCATATACAGCCCAAACTGGCCTCAGATTCATGGCAATCCTCCTGCCTTAGCCTCCTGAGTGCAGGGATTATAGGCATGTATCACTCCTGCTAGCTGGTTTTTTTGTTTATTTTTGGTTTTTGAGATAGGGTCTTACTATCAGGTTGGCCTTGAACTCACTATGTAGCCTAAGCTGGCTTTGGACATATGGTGATCCTCCTGTCTCATTTTTTTTTTCTTAAGTGATGAAAATATTTCTAAAATTAGTGGTGATCACTGCACAACTCTGTGAATATACTAAAAAGTCATGCTGGGGGTGGTGGCACACGCCTGTAATCCCAGCACTTTGGAGGCTGAGGCAGGAGGGTTGTTGTGAGTTTGAGACCAGCCTGGGCTACAAAGTAAGTTCAAGACCAGCGTGAACTGCATAGTAAGACATTGCTTGAAAAAGACGAAAAAAAAGGCCACTAAATTGTATACTTTAAAATGGTGAAATTTATAGTATATTTCAATAATGTTATAAAAATGTTTATGTTTCTTTTTACTTTCTTAATATGACTGCTAAAACTTTGACATTTTATATATATGGCTCCCTTTATATATCCATGTTGGACAGTGTTGTTATAAAGAAGAGATTTTTTTTACTCAGCATGGTAGTGCACACCTGCAATCCCAGCCCTAGCACTCAGAAGGCTGAGGCAGGAGGATCCCTGTGAGTTTGAGGCCAGCCTGAAACTCATAGCAAGACCCTGTCTCAAAAAAAAAAAAACAAAACCCATAGATTTTTAAACATCACTCTTCAGTACCTGAGGAATTTGCATAACCCCACTATTGCATAAACAAGCAAATCTTACATTGGAAGATTAGTACCTGACATTTGTTGGTTGTAAAGTTTGTCATACACATTACATCATGCGATCCTCCCACCCTTCCAGACAGACAGGTAGGAAGTGGTTATTGTTCCCATTTTAAAGCTAGAGATACTGAGGTTCGAGAATGGAAAAGACCTCATCTAGGGCTACAGGACCAGGAATAGACCCCTGGACCTCAGGCCCTAGATTCTAGGTCTCTGGGATTAGTCTGTCATAAACCTTCCATCTCCGCACCCCATCCTACCCCACAGAATCATGCACAAGCAGCAAGTATCGTTTCAGGCTCTCTTGGAGCCTCAGAGTTGATCTGAAAGACCCAAAAGAAGAACCATGTCACGGCTACCAGCCACCACCACCCCACCGTCACAGCTGTCACTGCATACTGCAGGCTGTCATTTAGCAGCTCTACTTCCACACCAGACCAGTGATGCTGTAGCTTCCCTGGTGTGATTCTCATGTCGTGGATCAGGGCTGAGGTCTGGGCGTGAGGACTTTTAAAGCTTCCCTGACAAACCTCATGTGTTGCCCCAAGCCGAAAGTGCACCACAGAGGTTTTTGATTTGGCTTCCATAGTGATATAGGCGAGGTTAAAAGTATGAGTTTTCACACACAAAAAACTGCATTTCTGGATCCCCTGAAGGACTGAGAAATGGCTCTTGTGCCCGTACTCCTGCATGCTGACCAGGCTGGGCTGAGCAGTGGCAGTCCTGTGACACCCACTGGCCACGGTGAGCCTATAGTCTCACAGCCTACTGTATTTATTGTAATTATCTGTCTAAGCCCCAACGGCGGCCCTGAGCCACGTGCTGGCCCCTGAGGCAGGAAACTGAGGTCTGTAGGTATAGCGTACCTAGATACGCGGCTGCTGCGAACCTCCTAGGCTGCTCACTGGGATAAGCAGACTTCTTCTTTTCCAGCCAGAGAACATACTGTGTGTCAGTCAGACAGGACACCAAATTAAAATCATTGACTTCGGGCTGGCCAGAAGGTAAGGGGATTTTATTTTGATACATCAACAAAAGTTCTTGTAGTTCTCTGGGGCATGGTTACAGAACTTGAGTTTGGGATGGAAGCAGGGAAGTGCTGTCACTCAGAGGCCAGTGATCGTTGGCTTGCAGGCTGGCCTTGTTCCTACTGCTGTGGGATTAACTGTGCTTCAAACTTCCTATCTGAGAAGAGAGCACAATTGCTAAAGGGGGAGGCTGAGTGGGTGCTAGCAACTCACTTCTATGGATGTGCAGGCATCTGGGCCCAGCTATGCTGGCGTATGTGATACTCCGGAAATGATGAGGCTCAATATGAAAACACATGTGTGACAGAGTAGGGAAGTGCCATCCACTGGCCGAGTGGTCCTGGAACCACTCAAGCCGGGTTATTGGTACGTGGTGGCACAGGGTGACTGCTGAGGGCCAAATGAAATTGCATGTGGGCATTGCCAATCCGTCCTGTGAGTGTGGTGTGGTTCTCAATTCTCAGTGCCTTAAAGTGAACACTGCATATAATTTTAAAAAATATCTTAAAGTTCCTTAAAATGTTTGAAGCCTTGTAGACTATTCTATACAATCCTATCCAGTCATAAGTATGGTAAACACGGCCTCGCAGGCCCTTTGCTCATGACAGTTATGTTGGAGTCTTACCAGGGGCTGTAGCAGACCCTTGGTGTTTAGGAGGCCTCCCCATCCCCACCCCCCAGGCATCCCCTGTTCTTAAGTATGTATGGCAGTAGTATGCTTGTCCTACAGGCTTTCTCCCGAAGTGTTTCCTCCAAGAACAATTTTTCTCTAGGAATTACATATTTTCTGGGTTGGCCTTAGTACTACAGCTGCTGGATTTTCAATTCTTTCTCAAATTTCTCTCTCTTTTTATTTGTTTGTTCATTTGTTTGATTTTGGTCTTTTGAGACACAGGCTAACCTCAAACTCGGGACAGTCCTCTCACCTTAGCCTCCCAAGTGCTGGGATTACAGGCACATGCCACCATGTCTGGATTCTCTGTCATCTTGATGAGTTTTTCCCACAAAATAGTTGTCCTGGTTGCTTTATGAGGGGTCAGGTCTCCTCCACTCCATCTACAAGTAGAAGGAAGCAGAGCCTGGACCCATAGGGGCCAAACTGCTCATGGGGCTCAGCTCTAGTTTCCTGAGCTTGTTCCCAGGCAGCAGCCAACACCACAGAGGAAAACTTCAAAGTCACTCTTCCCTGGTGAAAGTGGCAACTCTGACCTATTTCTAGGGGTGAGAGGTGCATTTTTAGTGCCCCATGTGCTTTTGGGTAACAGCAGAAGGAAGTTCTAGCATCCCACTTCACCTTCAGGGTCTCCATTGTGCATAAACATTATAAAATCCCCCTAACCTAAACACCTAAAAGTCACATTCAAGTCCAGGATGGTGGTGCATGGCTATAATTCCAGCATTTTGGGAAGCTGAGACAGGAGGGCTGATTGCAAGTTTGAGTCTCACCTGGGCAATTTAGCAAGACCCTATCTCAAAATTTTAAAAATTACAAAGAGTGCTGAAGATGTAGCTCAGTGGTAGCTACATTGATCCCTGGTACAATACTTAAAAAAAAAACATCACCTTCAACCCATAATATAAAAAACCTGCATATTGTTCCCAAAATTAAGTATAATTGAAAAATAATGAATATTTAAAACTTTTCAAAAATGATTACAGTACAAGATACATTACCATCAATCATGCTTAAAGTACTCCCCCTTGCTTTGAACAAAATTATCTCATCATTCTTGCCACTATCTGAAGCAGTTCCGGAAGCTCCTTTCCATGACTGTATTTTTTACACTGTTGTGGCTACCTCGTGCCCTGAATCGATTCAAAACATTTACCTTCCATGGTCATTTTGACTTTGGGGAAGAACCAGAAGTCACATGGTGTCAGACCTAGTGAATAAGGTGGATGAGGACACACAAATGTTTTATGAGCCTGCATTTCTGCGGAATGGCATTTGGCAGCATGATTCATAATTTTATCACTCCTGGTAAAAACACAAAAGAGGGCTTCCAGAACTGCTCCAGAAAGTGGCAAGAATGGTAGGATAAGAAAGTTTGAAGCAAGGTGAGTATTTTGAGAGGGATTAATGATCATGTGTCTTTTACAGTAATAAATTTTAAAAATTTAATCATTTCCCATCTATTTAGACCATATCATAATGTTTCCAAATTTGGAATTATCTTACACACTTGCATGTCTTAAATGCTAGAACATATTGCTACCTGCTCCCCAATGGGCCATTTATATTTTTTCCCTAATCACCCGGCTTCCCTGCACCAGGAAATGTATTGGCTCAAAGTAACCATATATCTGCATATGTAACTATGGCCCTTTGGGGAGCCACAGTTTCATATAATAGCTTTTTTTTTTTCATAATTTTTTGACCCTCAAGAACCATTTCTTGCCATGTGTGGTGGTGCGCACCTGTAATCCCAGCACTCGGGAGGCTGAGGCAGGAGGATCGTTGCGAGTTTGAGACCAGCCTGGGCTACAAAGTGAGCTCAAGGCCAGCCTGAACTGCATAGCGAGACCCTGTCTCAAAAAGACAAAAAAAAAAAAAGAAAAGAAAAAAAGAACCATTTCTCATTCACTGAGGGGCAATACTGTCTTCACTGAGAATGCACACAAGTGTATGCAGTACGTTCAAATGTCAGATGACCAGTTGCCACATGAATTCAGAGCAGAAAGCAACCACAAGAAGCTCCTGGAAGGGCTGGGGATATAGCTCAGTGGAACAGTGCCTACCTGGCAAGCACAAGGTCGTAAGTTTGATTCCTGGTAGCAAAGAAGCTCCTGGAGTTGAGGAAGGCCTCCCTAAACAGCGAGAAGAGGCAGGCAGGATTTATTATTTACAGGCAGTTACTTGCAGGCAAATGTTTTATCACCAGCTTGAAAGCCAACTTTTGCTCATTTTCGTGTAATACCACAGAATGCAGAGTTGGGAGGAGATGCACACAGTGCAAGTCGGATGAGCAGAGTGTGCTGGAAGGAGGCAGGGAGACAGTGCGGGCTGTGGGGCCGAGAGTGAGACATACGCCCTGTATGAGCCACCAGTCTAGGGAAGATACTGCAGGTGAGTGCACTAGTGAGGAGTCCTGAATGCGAGGCCTAAATGCTTGAGTGGTGTCTTTTAGGCCACTGGGTCTTACCTACCTGGCAGGGAGGTGAAAGGGACTGGAAGTCAACTTACCAAGAAATGAGTTAGCCAGAAGCTTGCCTGGGAGTGGCCAGTCCACCCCAAACTGCCAGGGTCTTTAACCTGGTCAAGGCCATCAGTGAGGATAACTCTGCCAGCAGTAGGAGAGGCGGAAGGCAAGTCCAGGAAGACACATACAGGGAACAACCTCTAAGAGAAGCCACCTTTGTGAATATGCTGGGCACACTCACTGCTGGGCAGGAAACTGCACTTGATGGGTCTGGGTTGGCAGAGCCACGACTTCTGACTAGAAGACAGGCAGAAAACATCAAAAACATCCTCAGTTGTCTGGGATGGGCCAGTCAACCAAATGATCATTTGACAAGCTGACTTTTGCTAAATTGGTTTTTGAAAACTGGCCTGCTTCTTGGGAAGTGTATCCTTCCACAAGGAAGGCTCTGTCAGGGGTCATTCAGGTTGAGAAAGCATATTCTGCACTGCAGAAGAGTGAAGTATGTATGAAGAGAGGGAAAGTGCCAATTTCCCTCTTACTGCAAACTATAGAAAAGGAAGTTTTTATTTCTGGCTGGGGCCAGGAGAAGGTGTTGAAACTGTGGTGGTGGCATGGTCTGTGAGTGAGAGTCATGTGAATCTTTAGGCTGTAACTTGCAGTAAGGGAGACCAGGACCACCCAGGCTGGGCAGTGACCCCATGGGTGATCTAAGTAGTAAGATGTCCTCGGCCACGGGTCATAAGGGGAGTGGAAACATCTTAAGCTGGTTCTCTATCATGTTGGGAGTCTCCAAACTCCCAGGCTGGGGCTCAGATTGCAATCAGAACACAAATCCATCTCATCAGATCCTTTGGCAGGGTGAGGGGGCACTCATACTCCTGTGAGGTTTCCTGTGTGGCCGGGGGAAGTGGCTTGCAGGGGTTAGGAGAGTAGGGAAGGCTGTTTCTCTGGGTTTGGCTCCTGAGGCCTAAGTCTGGGTCCATTTCCAGTGCAAGGGAGGAGCAGGCTGCCAGAGGAGGGTTCCGCTGCCTGCCAGTTCCCTGGCTTCCCACCAGCCCCTTGTTGCCCTTCTCCTGGACAGATGTGGGCCTTGTTGACTTCCGGTCTGTGTTTGCCTGGCTCCCAACAAATTTGGGAGAGGGGACTGCTCTTTAAAAACCGGTTTGAAGGAAGCAGGGCACTTTGGCAGAATAAATTATTTGAGTCATTTTTATTATTTTTATTCTTAATTGCCTCATCTATAATATGGGGCCAATAATCTTAGCAATTTCAAAGGGCTATTGTGAGGATGAAAAGAGGTAATACTGGCATGTAAATCTTCTAGCATGGTGCCTGGAAGACAGGAAGTACCCTCCGGATTTGCACTAGAGACTTGCTTCTCCTTTAATAGTGATTCTAAAAAGTTTTTTGCCACCATTTTCTATCTCAGCCATCAACTCCCTTTCTAGCCCTTGCTTGCACTTGATGTCCATAACCTTTCTGATTTTTTTTGAGACAGTGTCTCACTTTGTAGCTCAGGCTGGCCTTGAAATACTACGTAGCTGGGGCTGACCTTGAACTTGTGGTGATCCTCTTGCCTCAGCCTCCAGAGTGCTGGGATTAAAGGCGTACCACACCTGGCTCTGATTCTTTCTTTTTGGAATTGTGGTTTTAAAAAAACAATACAATATAAAATTTACCACCCAGTGTCTATCAATGGAGCAGTGGATAAAGAAATGTGGTACAGCATATATACCCAGTAGAATATTGTTCAGCCTTAAAAAAAGAAGTCCTGTCATTTGAGACAGGATGTATACATTGGAAGGACATTGTGTTAAGCAAAAACAGCAGGCACAGAAAGACAAATAAAGCATGATCTCACTGATGTGTGGAATCTAGAACTCACAGGAGTATACAGAATGGTGGTCACCCGGGGCAGAGCCAGTGTCACTGGGGAGATGCTGGCTAAAGGGTACAAATTTTTAGTTAGGTAAAAAAAAATAAGTTCAAGAGACCCACTGTACAACATGATGTTAATAACAATATATTGTCTACTTAAAAACCATTAAGAGAATAGATTTGAAGTGTTCTTGTCACATATAAGTGAAATAATCCATATGTTAATTCATTTAATTTAGGCAGTTCAAAATGTATACATATAATAAAACATCATGTTGTAAACTGTAGATATTCATAACTTGTCATTTAGGATAAATTAATGAATTAAAAAATTACCATCTTAATACTTACCTGTGCAGTTCAGGAGCACAGCTGTAGTCTACTGCCTTGTTGAGTAATCTCCAGAACATTTCATCTTGCAAAACTGACACTTTTTCCAGTTTCCCTACGTGCTAGTTCCACTGATTTAAATATGCGAGCCATCCTGGTGGGTAGGAAGCAGTATCATATCATGGTTTTGATTTGCACTCCCTAGTTATCATGGTGATACGCATCTTTTCCTCTTTTTCTAATTTTAATGTTATCCTCCAACCACATGGAGTACACCAATAGCTGTCTCCGCCTAACGTCTCCCACCTTGTTTGTTTGTACCTGCCCACATGGGTACAGTTGAATAAGATCTAAGGGTATTCTTTCTTTCCACTTTAGACTGTAAATATCTGGAAGAGGACTGTGGTTTTCCGATTCTGCTGATAACTTAGAAAAGCATGAAGGTTGAGGGGGCGGTGCGATTATTTCCCCAGTAAAATATATACTTAGTTTGAATTTGAGGCCAAGGCAATGTGCCTGAGGGTAAGGTTTCAAGAATGCCTCCTCCCATGGGAATCAGTCCCTTCCCCTCAACTCCCCCCAGCCTCCTACCTGTTTCTCCGCACTCCTCTCCAGGTACAAGCCTCGGGAAAAGCTGAAGGTGAACTTTGGTACTCCTGAATTCTTGGCCCCGGAAGTTGTCAACTATGAGTTTGTCTCTTTCCCCACTGACATGTGGAGCGTGGGAGTCATCACCTATATGCTGTGAGTGCTCCAGAGGCCTGGCTCTGACGTGGGGCTGGGGCCATCTGTTTTACTTCGCCTACTCTGACAAGCAGCAAAAATTTGAAGTTTATTTGGGAAGTATCCTAGGAAACATCAGTAGAGTAGGGCAGAGAGATGGGGAAGAAAAAGCAGTGAAGGTCTATTATGAGCCAGTTTCTTCCTTTAAATTGATCCTGTTTGTAATTTATCACTTCTCGTAGGCTGATGTTGGGTAAAAATTGAGATACGCAGATGTCATTCCCCAAAGTAAAGGTCTGAATGCCTTAGGCTTCAGCAGTATGAAAATCATGGGCTGAGCTGTCAAGTTTTTTTGATACACATAAAATAAGAACTAAAAATAACTAAAGGTACTAATGACCAGAAGTAAAACCCACCTGTGAAAACCTGGAGTTTATTCCCGCTGGGAAACTTCTCTCCACTGTGGAACACTCACCCAGTTATTTAATTTATATACAAACCCTCATTAGTTATTGTTTGTGGGCTGGGCTCAGGTGTCCGGGATTGAATTAACTTCCTGATACTTCTGGGCGTGTAAAGCAAGCTTGAACTGGAGAAAAAGCCCTTCAGCAAAGAAATGAAGATGCTTTGGTGCAAGTGGGGGTGGACTGCACCAAGGGGATGCTGCCAGGGGACAGGACACTATTGTGTCCCCAACCTGGTCACTGCTGACCCAGGGCTCCCTGCTTTCTTCTCTCCAACTGTGGGCTTCCCGTGGTTCTCTTCTTAGGGACCCAAATCATGTTTTACTTCTTGTCCTACTGCACAACTGCTGGCCTGTGTTCCTGTACTTTGCGTGTGTCTGGTACCAGCCCAGGGAAGTTTGTAGCCCCAGGGCCAGCCCGCTAGGCTGTGAGGTGAGGGTAGTATCTAAATGATCCAGACTCGCAGAGAAATACAGAGGGCTATTTCAAAATTAAATCAACATGTACTAAATTACTGGGTATACTGAGTCAGGCTCGCATTTTTCTTTACCTCGGAGATAGGGGGGAAAACAGGTGAAGGTGATGGAAGACTTATTCTGAACATCCTTCCACCTCCTGCTTACTATTAATACTTACTATTAACATATCCCGTGGAGAAGTAATAGAGCTACTACACTTGTCTTGAACTCTGTTGGTTCTACTTAGGTCTGCCGAGGCCTTGTAAATTTCTTCTGTTGAAGCATTTGGTAAGTGTGGCTTCCATTTACTGTGCTGATGCTCCTTTCTCTCCTCTGTAGACTCAGTGGTTTGTCCCCATTTCTAGGGGACACAGATGCAGAGACCATGAATTTCATTGTGAACTGCAGCTGGGACTTTGATGCTGACACCTTTGAAGGACTGTCAGAAGAGGCCAAGGATTTTGTTTCCCGTCTACTTGTCAGAGAAAAGAGGTACTCTGCCGCTGTCACTAGGGGCCCATCTGCTCTGGGCATCGGGTGGGGCCACTGCAGCTGGAGCCCTTTTTTCTTTAGGATTTCTTAGTCTGCTACTTCTCTGGAATAATAGTGAGAGCAGAGAGGAAAAAAAAGAAATCAACAACAACTAGGAGCATGAACTACAGATTTGCTTTAGAAAGTATGTTTGTAAATGGTCCTATTTCTAAATTATCACTTTTCATAGGCTAATGTTGAAAAGAAGTTGAGACATGCAGATGTCATTCCCCAGAATAAAGATCTGAATACTTCATTTCTTAATGATGAAAGCCTACTTGGGCTTCAGCAATTCTATATGTCATACAGTAAGCCACTGATTTTTTTTTATGCTCACATAAAATAACTGAAAACAACCAAAACTATTAATAACCCAGAAATAAAGACCACCTGTGGGCAAGTGAAGTTTTTTTCCAGTGGGAACTCTAGAATTCATTGTGAAACACTGCTTCCAAGTTACAGTTTTTGTTTTGGTTTTTTGAGCCAGGGTCTCACTGCATAGTTCACACTGGCCTTGCACTCACTGTGTAGCCCAGGCTGGCCTCGAACTGGCTTCGATCCTCTTGCCTCAGCATTCCCGAGTTCTGGGATTAAAGGTGTGCATTACTAAGGCCCAAGCACATGACCTCTGACATAGCTCATTGTTCTCTGCTTTTCACAATTTTATTTCTGATTGTGAGAGGTTATGTGAGAGGAAAAAAATTCTAATTAAAATGAATATACTGTGAAGGAGAAGTGAGCTTCTGTCAAGTGGCATGTTCTTTTGCTTCTTTTGTTTGAAATGTTTAATTTTAATTAGTGCATATTGTGGTACCTAATGACTGCCTTCATCATGAGGAGTTGGTACATGGACAGACACGTCCTAATTCTTTTTACTTCTCCTTCCCCCTCCCTCCTTCCATCTCTTGGTCCCCTTCCTATTTGCAAAAGATCTCCCTTCTTCCTATTGTCTTTTATTTTGCTCTTTAAATTATTTAACGTTTGAGTTTCTCATACAAGAGAAACCATGCAATATTTAAACTTGTGTGTCTGATTTGTTTCACTTAACATTTCCTACAAATGCCACAAATTTATTCTTGTTTGTGGCAGAGTGGTATTCTATTGTGTATAAATACATTTTCTTTCTCCATTCTTTTGCTTTTTTATTTTAAAAAACTAACAAAACAACAGTAAAGACAAAATCAAAACAATCCTAGGCATAGTCAGCCTTTCTGCACTGCCTCAGTTTCCCAGGCCTCGCTGGGAGGTGCTGATTAATCACTCTAACACATTCCCTCTTTGAGGTCAAGGAACATTTTGCTGGTGACTTATTACTTACTGGCCTTTTTAAAAGGGCAGTTTTGGACAAGTTCCCTTTTTGATACATGACATGAATCTGCCAGGATGATAAAAATGTTCTACTGACTCAGGATTCCTGCCCTATCAAATGGTTTCTGGTAGCCAGAAAAGGCAACCCCAACTAAAAGTTTCAACTGATGTTTATTTCACAGCTGCAGAATGAGTGCCACCCAGTGCCTGAAACATGAATGGCTGAACGATTTGCCTGCCAAAGCCTCAAAATCCAAAGTTCATCTCAAATCCCAACTACTCTTGCAGAAATACATGGCCCAGAGAAAATGGAAGGTATTTTGTGTTTCTCTCAGTAAAGAAAGCATTTGTCTTCTGACTTTGGAAAGAACAGTTACTAAATTTTTACATATTTTAAAATTATAATTAGATTATTTCGAGGAGAAAAAAAATCTCATTTTAAAAGCTGCTAGCTTGATTAAAATAAGCCAGAAGCCAGAAGCCAGAAAATAACTGATATAAAAGTGTCATTTAGTTTGTGGTTAAACACACTTAAAGTGATAGAATGAAGTTGAGCATATAAGATATGCTCAAAATATATAGTGAATGTTTAAATTAAAAAAAATTATTACAGTGAAAGACACATAGCCATTAATTCTCCACAAAATACTTCCTCTTGCTTCACACATAACTGTCCCATCATTTTTACCACTTTCTGATAGTTTTTCTGGAAGTCCTGAGGTGTGATAAAAAATAAAAGTGAATGGGATGCTGAATGTCACCCAACAGAAAGGCAGCTCATGAAAATATGACGCTATGTTTTGTTTTGTTTTGTTTTTTTGTGGTACCGGGGATCAAACTCATGACCTTATGCTTGCTAGGCAGGCGCTGTGCCACTGAGCTACATCCCGGCTCCATGATGCTATGTTTTCATCCACCTTTCTTTACCGGATCTGGCATTGAGACTTCTAGTTCTTCCCCAGTCAAAATGATCATGAGAGATAAGATGCTTTGAATCCATTCAGGACATCAAGGCAGCTACAACAGCGCAACTAAAGACACTCACAAAGAGCACAAAGAGCCTGATTCATCCCCATTTCAGAAATGGGCTGTGGGAAATCTCTATTGTTTTAAAAGCTTTATAACTTTGTTTATAACAGACCTTTTGGTAACATGGACACAGACCCTACCTTAACAGTAGTTATCATCAAGGGAAGTGGCTTTCCCACATTTTGGTGCTGATGGAATGCTGAATGTCACCCAACAGAAAGGCAGTTCATGAGAACATGACGCTATGTTTTACTGATCATCATAAAACACAAAATAAGGTGGGGCCCATACCTCCATGGCACAGGATCCTTACTAGGCCTAAGACCCTGGGATAAAACCCCAGCACCAAAACAAAACCAAACGCTCCCAAAACAAAAAACAAAACACCTTTACCTAGGGAATCAGCACACAAGCAAATATATACATGTACATATACATATAAAGCAAAAACTTCACATTTATTCTAACATACTGTGATACATTCTATCTTCTATTCTATGCCATTTAATTTTATTAAGAAATAGTTGTTTGTGGTCTAAAAATTTGATTTTACAACCCCTAGGTGGCTTGTGAATTACAATTTGAGAAACACTGTTCTAGTTTTAAGTAGGGTGTTCTACTTTTCATGTGAAAGAATATCTTACCTTCTCGCTGGGATGGTGGCCCATGCCTATAATCCCAGCACTCAGGAGGCTGAGGCAGGAGGATTGTTGCGAGTTCGAGACCTGAGGCAGGAGAATTGTTGCGAGTTTGAGACCTGCCTGGGCTACAAAGTGAGCTCAAGGCCAGCCTGAACTGCACAGCGAGACCCTGTCTCAAAAAGACAAAAAAAAAAAAA